TCCTCCCGCCTCTCCCTCTCCCTCCCCCTCGCACAACACACCCTCCCCCTCGCACAACACACCCTCCCGCCCCACCTCCTCGCCGACCACGACCGCGCCCGCATCGTCGAACTCCGCATGCACGCCGGCGGCGCACCCGCCATCGTCGTCGTCCGCCCCGAGAGCATCTGCGGCCTCGGCGTCGCGCTGCACCCCGATCTAGCGGACGACGAGCTCGAGGCGCAGATGCAGGACGGCATGCTCGCGGTTCCCGCCGTCGATGAGCGCGGGCGCGTCGACGCATACGTTCCCATGGAGAAGGAGGAGCGGGCTCGAGATGAGGAAGCGCGGGACGCGGACAGACTGTTCGCGCGGCCCCGTCGCCGCGATTCACCGCCGATAGCGCATGGAACGTCGTCCGTGCCGCCGCCGCGGAGCCCGTCCGCGGTATCGCTGGACGACGCAGAGCCGTGGACCGTTGTTTCTCGCCGCGTGCGCACGGAAGAGCGGGATAACGCGCGCCGCCGCTGCTCGGAGCTGTTGGAGATGGAGATGGAGATGCGCTACACGCTCGTGAGGCGCAGGACGGATGCGCTGCCGAGGCGCACGACGGATGCGCTGTCGAGGCGTGCGCCGTCGCTTGCGTCGGGCGAGGTGCGCGAGCACTCGTTGTGCTCGCGATCGCCGCCGGCGAGGTCTCCATCCCTGCGCACGCCGCCCACCCCCTCCCTTACCGCCCGCTCTCCGCCCCTTCCGACACCCCCGCCGTCCCTCTCCGCCCACACACCGCCCCTCACATCCCGCTCACCACCCGTCCCGCCAATCCCACCGACGCCAGAACGCAGGCCTTCCTTCCTGCGGCGCGTTCTGCGGCAGAGCCAGGACGCAGAGGAGAGCGAGAGCGCCGCGCGGATGCGGACGCGGACGGCCGGTACGGAGCCCGCGCGCCCGAGGACGCGGACGGCCGGTGCAGAGCCCGCGCGCACGCAGACAGCCGGCGCAGAGCCCGCGCGCACGCAGACAGCTGGCGCAGAGCCCGCGCGCACGCGCACGCGCACGCAGACGGCCGGCGCGGGCGCTTCGCGTCGTAAGGCGGAGCGCAGGGCGATCTCGGAAGGCCAGGACGACGGACGGGCGCGGACGCGTTCGCAGTCGGCGTGGCGCGGCTTTCTGGCGCGCGTCGGGCGGGAGAGGGAGAAGGAGGGCGCGGGCGCGGGCGCGAGGGAGTTGCGCGGGCGGATTGGGGCGCCGAGGCCGCTGAGTCCTGTGGCGCAGTGGGGGTGGGTTGAGCAGGGGGCGTTGGTGGGTGTTGTGTGAGTATGGCGGTGGGGCGGTGGAGTTGGGAAGGCGGTTCGTTTGTGCTATGTTTACGACCCACTGACGGTTAGGATCAGGATCAGGATATGAGTATGGCTTTGTCACACTGTCCTATACCCCTCACGCACGCACGCACTAGCACACCACTCTGTCCGCGTTTTGTACCCCAAGTCCTTAGAGCGCACAGCACTATACTCATTATCGTCGTACGTAGATGCATAGATTTGTAGGAACCTGTACAATAGGAAATTAGATTCGTTTGGCGTTTTCCAGATTTGAAAGATAGTGTGAGGGCCGAGGAATTTTCGAACGAAGTCGACAGCTGGTGTGGAATATCAAATATAGAAGTCAGTGGCATTGGAGAATGGAGTCGCTTCCGCGACCCGAGTCTTGTCCGCAGCGATATACGGCAAACACTGGCGCGTAGTGTGTATTGCTGATACGCGGTCCTATATAATTCCACGAGGGTAAGCCGGTGAACGGTACCTCTCCAAGAAGTCGAGGGATCGTAGAGGTTGGTCACGGTTCCCGTGCGACACAGCAAGCCAGCCTCCGGCGGCAGGCCGGTCGTACAGTAGCTAGAGTGGCATCGTTCTGAGGTTTCGTCGAATACGATCGGGCTTTCTGTTCATTGCGGCACCTCAGACTCCCCGCCCACTTGGCAATTTGAGAGGAATTAGGAAGGTGGGACACGACACGCTATCATTAGGTTTTCCGGCATTCTCCTCTAGGTTTGAAAGTGCATACGTGTGATGTTCACCGCGACCGAAAATTCTTAGATAGCACGGTATCAGGTAAAGGATCCACAGGGCAATGAACAAGCCGCATCAGCCAAGCTCGGGGAGCGGGTTTGGTCATAGGCATAGCACGGAGATAGTGATAGACATGGGCTGGCTCGAGTTTGCCGTAATCTGGCTGACAGGTAGAGCCGAGGTACGAGGCCCCTGGGCGATATTGATTCGCGGCGCGAACAGACCAGAGTCGCCATACACGCTCGCGCGGGCGACCGCCTCCGAAGATAGGAAAGCGATAGCTGCAGCGGAGAGGGCGCTCGGCACGGCGGAGTAGGAGGCGATTTCGAGCCCGCGATAATCCTCGCCAGGGTATCCCAACCACCCAAAATCAAGCCTACAAAGTCGTTCACAGAGAATTTCCCACTTGGACGTGTGTCGAAGGGAGGCTCGCGAGCGTCGGAGCGCAGCAGATAACGCACGCGCTGATTGCGGGCGCGGTGCGAGAAGGGACGTAGTTGCAATGCATGTTAGGGATAGAGACGTAAGAGCAATCACGGGCGCGGATCGAAGAGGACTAGGGGGGCGCATAGCATAAAATATGCGGGCAGGCAAATGAATGTAGACATCGGGCGTCGTGGCATCATGCTCTTGAGGCGCGGCATGAATGAACGCAGGGTGCGCGCAGGGAATCAGTGTAAGATCTAAGATGCGAGCCTGCGGAGAGACACAGGGTCATAACCTGGTGGTGAGGTGGTTTACGGGCTGACTGTGCTGGTGAGATGGGACACGGATGGGAACAGACTGAGCGCACGATTGTTAGACTGAAGCCGGCCTGTAGCTTGCAGTCACATATTACTATGCTTTTAATTTAACAGAGCCTGCCTAGCTCAATCGGATAGAGCGTGAGACTTTTACGGACTATAGTTCACGTGATTGTAATCTCAAGGCTGCCGGTTCGACCCCGGCGGTGGGCGTAAATTTTTTTTGCTCGACATGGTCAGGTAGCCATGCGCATTTTTGATGAACGCATACAGTTCTGGAGCGGTTGGCGCCGAAGTAGAGCGCGCATGACGCACAGATTGAAAACCAGAGCTCGCCGAACACGCGAGCACGTGAAACCGTGACGTCCTCGCTCGCCTCTCGAAAAAAGTTCGCGTCGTCGGATCCAACGAAGTCGGGAAGGTACTTTAGATCTGTCGCGTCGCCGATCGAATTACCACTCGTTTGTGTCGGTTTCGCCTTCTCTTTCTATCCACCGATCAGTCGTGCACGCCGCACTGCCCCTATAAATTATAGGACAAGCTTATCTTCGAGCAGTTCTATTGCGCAGACGGCCGGCATCATTCGTTATCCACACCTCGCGCCCGCAAGCCCCGATCCAGCGTCACTCGGGAAGCGTATAAGTATCTGGGGCTTGGCGCAGGCACGGACGCCAGGCTCGAGTTGCGCACCCGCTTCCCTTCGTCCCCCTCGACTCCTGGAAAAAGCGGCTCCACGCCACCGCGCACGCCACGACCATGCCTCCACAGAATGATACTGCTGTCGACGCCGACGACGCCGAGCTCGAGGCGCTTGGCTACGTCCCGTCCTTCAAGCGCGAGTTCTCCAACCTCGCTACGGTACGCCCTTCTTCCTCTAAGCATCGCGGCGCTCTTACCCGCTAGCCCCACACGCCTCACAGATTAGCTTCGCATTCAGCATCATGGTCCGTGCCTCGCCGATCGCTGCGCCATCACCCGCGTCTGACGAGGTCGTGTGCCGTTTTTTTCCCCGTAGGGCCTGTGCTCGTCCGTCGCGACGACGTTCAATACGCCGCTTCTGACTGGCGGCCCCGCTTCCGTGCGTGCCTATCTTTACGACTGACCGTAAGGTAGAGGATGTTCTGATGCGGGGAGCCACAGGTGACGTGGTGCTGGATCCTAGGAGCGACGATGTGTTTCACGCTGGGTATGTCTTCCACTTTTTTAGGCCGTTGACGCGCGTGACGGGCGCGAGGGAAAGAGCGGAGTCGCCGTGGCGCGTGCGACGACTCAGCGTTCGCCAGTAACTCAGTTGCGCGCATTAGACGCATCGCGACTCGGGCGCTTCGAACCCGGCCCCTATCTTATCATTCAGCGGTAACAGTCTGCGGCGCCGAGGCCCCTCCGCTCTCTCGAGTAATTTCTTTCGCGTTGCTGTGCCCCATCATACGTCGCGTAGACGACGGGCTTTCCTACTTCAATCCTATCTTATCGGAGAGGAGAATAGTGCTCGCCGTTTGTCTGCATCGAACGTTTGGTGGCCCTTTCGACGAGATATAGAGCGGAGAGCCGTTTCTTCTCGTAAGGCCGTTGTGCTATCGTGCCGCACTTTGAGCTTCTTCGCCCTCTTCATCTTTCATCCCTTGCCTATCCGACCGCTAATAGCACAAATGCACCAAACCTGACGCACCGTTTTACGTAGGCACGTCCATTGCGGAGATCGTCTCAGCTTTCCCGACCGCCGGCGGGCTCTATACCGCCTCGGCGAAGCTCGTGCCCGCCAAACAGCGCCCCATCGTCGGCTGGGTCGTCGGCTGGCTCAACATCCTCGGCCAGGTTGCCGGCATCTCGTCCACGGAGTTCGGCCTCTCGAACATGATCTGGGCTGCCGTGGTCGTCGGACGCGATGGGAACTATGAGGTCACGAATGGAAAGATTGTGGGGCTCTTTGCAGGGTTGCTCGTCTTCCATGGTCTTTTGGTTCGCGTCTCCCTAGTGCGGCTACACGAGGTGGCTGACGGGTGGTAGAACTGCCTTGCTACGCGCTACCTCGCGCGGTTTACGACATCCTTCGTCTTCGTCAACATCGGCGCGACGATCCGTCAGTTCTTTTATCTTCTCCTGAGCTCCATTATAATATTAACCCAAGTCATTGGACCCCAGTGATCATAATCGTCTTGCTTGCCACGACGCCGCGGAGCGAGATGCACTCCGGCGCGTACGTGTTTGGGTCGGAGGGTACCATCAACGGCACGGGTGGCTGGCCGACCGGATTGGCGTTTTTGTTTGGGCTGCTATCGGTACAGTGGACAGTGCGTTTCAGCCATTTTCTGTCACTTTTCTATGAAGGTTAATAAGCTTCTCCACAGATGACCGTGAGTTCATGTTCTTGCAAGCAAGCTTAGGAGATGTTGACACGGAATACTAGGACTACGACGCCACTGCGCATATCTCGTGAGCTTGCTCTCGTGCTTGGGACGTGAGCTGGTACTGATTATGACCGTAGGGAAGAGGTTAAGCGCGCTGCTTATGCTGCTCCTGCGGCCATCTTCATTGCTGTGATCGGGACCGGTCTCCTCGGCTGGCTGCTCAACATCGTTCTAGTGCTTTGTTCCGGGCCATTGTGCGTACCACTCTTGTGATTCTTCGCCTCTTTTCCCTGATAACCTGTACAGCGAGAATCTTCCAGGAGCGTCAGGCTCTGCATTCCTTGAGGTGCGTCTGCCTTGTGCCCGGAGATCGCTTTGCCAACACCTATCAGATCATGGCACTGCGCATGGGTAAGGCCGGCGCACTCGTCCTCTGGGTATTGGTCTGCTTCACGGCTTTCTTCGTCGTACAAACGGCTCTGCAAGCATGCTCTCGGACCGTCTACGCCTTCAGTCGTGACCATGGTACCGCCCTCCTCTCCGTTCGCACACTCGTTCCTGATATTCCTTGTTTCGTTTAGGGTTGCCCGATCGTGGGTTCTTTGGCAAGATCCACCGATTAACAGGGACGCCAATTAACGCTATCGTCGGCACGACCGTGTTCAGCATTCTTCCCGGTTTCCTCCAGTTCGCATCACCGGCGGCTGCGAACGCGATCTTCTCGCTCACGGCAATGGCGCTCGACATCTCGTACATCATCCCTATTTTCCTGTACGTACTGCACGTTTCGCTTTTTCTGTACAATCGTGCTGACGTTTGTAATTGCAGGCGACGTGTGTATGGGAACCACCCCGAGGTGACGTTCAAGCCAGGGCCGTTCTATCTCGGTGACGGCCTCCTCGGCTGGGCAGTCAATATCAATTGCATATGTTGGGTCTTGTTCGTGTCCGTCATCTTTGCACTCCCGACTGTGTTGCCCATCACACCGCAAAATATGAACTACGCTTCGGTGCGCCTTTTCTCTTCATCTCTCTCGTAGAGTCCACTGACGCGGATGGAATATACAGGTCATCACTGGCAGCGTCGTTATCCTCGCTCTCATCTGGTACGTGATCGATGGGAGGAGGCATTACAAGGGACCGGTGTCGAACCTGCACGAGAAGCAGTTCCATGACGTGGATCAAGATACCAGCTCAGAGGACGTCAAGGACATCAAGGAGAGAGTTCAGGTCACTCCATGAGGGATGCGCATTGCGGTCTGGTCGATTTTTTCGTGCTGCTTCTGGAATGCTTTGGGGATACCGCGCTGTACTACTTAATGTCGGCTTGCATATGGCCTGTCCTTATACGAACCGTCCCATTTCTTAATTTGCTATACCGTCCTGTTTCGAGAGGCGGTTGGCCTCCTTGTGGAAAACGCTCGCAAAATGTTTTCTATGTTGACGAAGCAGCCCGCGACTGAGATCTTGATGTCTACCTCCACGAAGAGAGAGGGGTATGGTGGTGTCCGAGGCCTGGATGCCAGTCGCGCTTGCGTCATCGAACACCAGTGAAGCGCGCGTACGCGTCCAGACGAAACAACGGATTCAAAACGAGGACGCGTCAGCCGCCCTCTCGTCCAGACGTCCACTGCACTATGCCGCCACTCAACGTGAAGATCAGGAACGCTGGAAAGACGTTTGACGTCGTCCTCGACATCGATCGCCCGCCCAATGATTTCAAGAAGGAGATCTACCAGAAGACGGGCATTGCCCCCGACCGCATGAAGGTCATGATCAAGGGTGGTATGCTAAAAGTGCGCATCGCGTCTGCTTTCCCCTGCCTTTTAGTGAAGCACCACACAGGAAGATACGGATTGGGAAAAGGTTTCTCCGAAGGAGGTGGGTGGCAGACGTTGGAACTCGTACGCCAGGCGAAACCTGACGAGCAGTTGATTTGTGTAGGGACAAATATTTACGGTAATCGGTGCGGCAGGAGAGCTGCCAAAACCTCCTTCAGAGCCGATCAAGTTTCTCGAGGACATGGACGACGCCGAACTCGCGAACGCGGTAGGTTCATCTCTCCGAAATTCTTAATACCAGGCATGTTCGTCAGACGCTCTGCCCCTTGTCTGTACATGCTTCGGAATCGGCACCTTCGGTGCGTCTGCGCGGCATTTTCCTTTTTTGCAGAATCGAATGTCTCCTTAGCGGGGCATTGCTTTCCGGGCCAGGTGTGCTGACTTCTGTGTTGCAGCTCAGGATCCCCATCGGACTTGTGAAGTTCGTGACGTGTACTTTTGCATACACGGCCATTGACATCCCACAACAGTCTCGGTAACACATGCTATATGAGCGCAACAATTCAGGCCATGAATGCAATCCCAGAACTTCAGCTCGCTTTGCAAGCGTACGCCCACGCTACCATTTCATGAGCATCCCTTCCGACCAATGTCCCCGCAGAGCCAAGCCTATAGCCCCGTTACCACGCTCACTCACCGAGCTGTTCTCTACTATGTCTAACACAACCGACAGCGTCACGCCAAACCACTTTCTGAGCAGCCTGCGCGCGGTCGAGCCCCAGTTCGCCGAGAGGGCGCGAAATTCAATCGCCTTCGCTCAGCAAGGTATGGTTCTCGTGCTATGATCACTTACAGGCCATTGAATCAGCTGTGCAGATGCGGAAGAGTGCTGGTCGAAAATTCTCCAGGCTGTACGCGACATCCCGGCAATTCCTGGTGGGAAAGGCGCGCCGAACCCGCAAGATAAATTTGTAGATTCGTTCATGGGCGCAACTTTGGTTCGCGAGTGCGTCCAGTGGTTCGCATGTGCTCCGTCACATCTAATCTCTATCAGGCTGAAGTCAGAGGAAGCTCCCGAGGAAGAA